ACTCGTGCGTCCCCCTCAGGTCAGACTCGTGCGTCCTCCTCAGGTCAGACTCGTGTGTCCTCCTCAGGTCAGACTCGTGTCCTCCTCAGGTCAGACTCGTGTGTCCTCAGGTCAGACTCTCGTGTCCTCCTCAGTTCAGACTTGTGTGTTTGTAAAGTCGTAGTCATCAGTTTTGTGTCCTGTTTTTGAGTTTTTATAGAGAATATGAGTTGCATTTCTTTATAAAAATCAGTAAATCTCATTGTTGTGACGAGCTGCTCAGACTGGGAAGAGTTTAAGCAATGAAAAAATGAAGCTGCTGTTGTGTAAAAAAAAAAAAAAAAAAAAAAGTATCTCTTGATTTAATCCATTTGCGAAGCCTGATTTAATTTTTGAAACACAGACAAAGGTTTGTTCTTTTTGCTCCAGCAGATATGGACAGAGTCTGAGACCAGAGACCAACATCCTGTCCTCACCAGCAGCACCAGCGTCAGAGCTTCTCTCCATCTCCTCCAGAATCTCCTCCAGAGCAACAAAGCTCTGAGTATTTATACAGAAATACAAGTTACAAACATCTCAGAGCAGAGAGACTTTTGTTTTGTCTTTATTAACAACTGAGGGCAGCTAAAGGCTGAATTATATTTCTGTGTCGACTCATCGCGCTCTCGTTTTTAGTTTGTGGATCTGAGTCAAGGTCTTTGCGCCGCCAAGTAATTCACCTCCACAACACCAGGAGGCGACGATTTAAAACTGGGATTCGTGTCACAGAATTAAGCGAGAAAGTGGTTTCCGATACGACACAAACCTCGATGCAGTGCACTTTTGATTCAATATGATTTATTTAAAATCAATTCGATACGTTTCAATAAAAATAAAGCCTGAGTTAAATCACTTCTTGTGCAAAGTTCAAACATTTTAATCGTCAAAACTGTGAAAATGTCAAATAAACAAGTTTCCTTCCTTTGAACAAACAACAAAACTGTTGCTCTTACACAAAATAATTTGCAAAATACCGTATCAGTATCGATATTGCGGGCTGCTGTATCGATATATCGCCAAGAGGATTTTTAGGTGTATTTTACTAAATAATTTTGTGTAAGAGTCTCAGCTGTGTTGACATTTGTGTCCAGTCAAGTGTTAACGGAGGAAACAGGGTCAGATGTTTGACATTCAAATGTGTCTTATTCAGAAACTAGAGGAACTATTGAAATAAGTAAAGTATCAGAATGTAGGAAAGAGTTACACTCCAACAGGGTCAAGTTAAACCTGTGAGATTCTTTCAAGTTCAAGACAAAAAATTAAAAAACTCATGTCGGTAACGGAGGGAATGAAATATGCAGCACTTTTTGGTCAATAAATCCAAACAGTGATAACTCTTGGTTCTCACTTCCATATCCTTAACAAACTGGTTTGAATATTTGCTTCATATAGTTTTCTACCATATGGTACAAGATTAGGTTGAAAAACCTCTGACTTTTTGACTCATGAGATTTTTTATTAAGAAAGTTCATGGTAACGGAGGGAAAAGTAACGGAGGGAAAATTGTACAAACAAGTAGAAGGTGCAGGATTTTACATCATTTGTGGCTTTTTTCTTCTGAAAACTTTAATATTACTTCAAAATGAAAGAAACTATTCTATAAAATATGTCAGTCCTTCCAACAACATTTTTATCATTTTAAATACATTTTTTTTTTTTAAATCCTGTCTCTTCATCAACAGTTCAAAGATGGAATAACACAAGATATGATGAAATACAAACATTTATTTACAGGATTTTCAGGTCTTTGAAATTTGGGAAATAATTTTTGTTCCATGTTTCATTCATGGTCTGTTTAAAACGGATGGAACTTTAGAACCAAAAATGGAACAGAAAAAAGGTCAACAGTTTGATAAACTCGAGTACATATGTATCTGTTCAATACACTTTTATATCACATGAATTAACTGGAATTTTTGGTCTTGATGTTTACTTCTGCTGGACCAGGACCATTTTCACCATTTTGAGTAAAATTTGTGTTTTTAATTTTAAATTTGCACAAACTCAGTCGACTTTTAGTGTCGCAGACTTGATTTACTCTTTGTTTTTCACTGAACTGTGTCAAATCAGTTTGAAATATATCGGATCGTACTGAATCAAAAGTGCACTGTATCGAGAAACGTATTGTATCGTGGCCTGTGTGTCGAGGGCTGTATCGTATCGGCAACTTCTATACTACGACACACACACACACACACACACACACACACACACACACACACACACACACACACACACTCGAGGCTGCTCCAGGTCTCGTCCCGCCTGATGAATCTGAGTTTCTGTGTATTACTCAGACAGTTTAAAGTCCTGGTGAGCACTTGTGTCTGGAGTGTGTCACCGGAGACCAGAGCCCAGAGCAGAGTGTGAATAAAGACGTGACTCAGCTCCACAGGCCCGAGCGCCCGAACACTCAGCCTCTGCTGCGCCGCGCCGCCGCGCCGCCACCGCCGCCGCGCCGCCACCGCCGCCGCCACCGCCG